GCCAGAGCCTGGAAGGAGGTGCCAGGTCTCCTAGAGCTGAAGTCACAGGGGGTTGTGAGCCTGCACTGTGACAGCTGTGTGCGCTCTTCACGGCAGTCTCTCCAGGCCCTGGGATTTTTGTTGTGTGTTTGAGACAGGGGCTCATGTAGCCCAGGCTGGCCAGGAGCTGACTATATTGTAAGAGCTGAGACCTTGAATCTCTGATCCCCCTGCCTCCACCTCAGAAGCGCTGGGTTATGGGAGGCACCACCACGCCTGCTTCGCTGGGCGCTGGGATAGAAGCCCATGGCTTCTGCATTCAAGCAGCACTCTACCAACTGAGCTGTGAGCCCAGCTTCTTCGTTTGTTTTAGGATTTTGGGGTTTTTTTTTGTTGTTTTTCAAGCCAGGGTTTCTCTGTGGCTTCGGAGGCTCTCCTGGAACTCGCTCTTGTAGACCAGGCTGGTCTCAGACTCAGAGATCCACCTGCCTCTGCCTCCCGAGTGCTGGGATTAAAGGCGTGCGCCACCACTGCCCGGCAGTTTTTTTTTTTCCTTATGTATGTGCACCATATGCTTGTGGTGCCCACAGAGGCCATAAAGGGATACTGGATCCCCTGCTCATCCAAAGGACCCAGGTTTTAACTCCCAACAACCACATAGCAGCTCATAACAATTTAGAACTCTGGTTCCGGGTGACCCAATGTCCTCTTCTGGCCTTGGCAGGGCACCAGAAATGCACATGGTGCACAGACATACATGAAGGCAAAACACCCACACACATAAAATTTAAAAATTGTATCATTCCTCCAGGCTTAACCTCCAGAATGCTAGGATTATAGGTGTGGCTGTCACACTCAGCCTTAGTCCCTTTCTAGGAAGCCACTCCTAACCAGACACACCCACACTACATATCACCAGGTCACTACTCAAATGTCACTCCTGCAGAGGCCTTGCTGACCTCAGGATTCCTCTGTGCTTCCTGTCCCACGTCATCTACAATTATCTGATGGCTTTGAGATTTCCACCTCCACCACTGTCTGAGAACTCCAGGCAGCAAGCCATTTTTTTTCCTTTTCTGAAACAGGGTCTCATGCACTAGGCTAGCCTGGATCTCACTCTAGCTGTGTATCATGGTGATCCTGACCCTCGGTCACCTACCTCTTGAGTGCTGTGATGACAGGTGTGTTTTTTGAGGCCCAGAATGAAATCGGGGCTTCTCCAGTGGGCAAGCACTCCACCAGCTGAGCCCAGGCAGCGGCAACTCTGAGCCAAGGCCCTGAGTAGCCATGTCTGGGAGGAAGGTTCCTGGAAGATGAGGAAGCTGAGACCACGGGACCAGCAAGGGATGGGCAGAGTGGTTGCATTTGATGTCTTTCATACCACGAGATTCAGTAGGTAAAGACACTTGCTGCAAGCCCAGGGACACATGGAAGGGGAGAACTAGCTTCCACAAGTGTGTTCCTTTACCTCCACAAAATAAATCCAAAGAAATGCAATCAAGGGAGTAAAAACAGCTGGAGAGATGGCCTAGCGGTTAAGAGCACCGCTGGCTCTTCCAGAGGACCCAGGTTCGATTCCCAACACCCAAAGGTCACATCACACTAACTACTTTAACTCCAGTTCCAGAGGATCTGGAACACCCTCTTATGGCCTCTGAAAACACATGGTTCATAAAGATACAAGCAAAACAACCATATACATGAAAAATACAAATAACTAAAATCTTTAATGATTTATTTTATGTTCATCAATTTTCTTCCAGCATGCATGTCTGTGGTGTCGGATACCTTGGAACTGAAGTTAAAGAGAAGGAGGACGAAAATTTGTCTCAGGTCTACGTCAACTCTTATGTGAGTTGCTATGTGGGTGCTGGGAATTGAACTGGATCCTCTGGAAGAGCAGTTCTTCTTTCTTCTTCTTAGGTTTCTCTGTGTAACAGTCCTGGCTGTTCTGGAACTCACTTTGTAGACCAGACTGACCTCAGACTCAGAGCTCTGCCTCCCCCTGCCCTACAAGTACTGGGATGCAGTGTGTGTGTGTGTGTGTGTGTGTGTGTGTGTGTGTGTGTGTGTGTGTGACCACACCTGGCAAGGAGTCAGTGCTCTTGACTGCTGTGCTCTCTCTCCAGCCCCAAATAAACCTAAAAGAGAAGTAGCCTGGCAGAGGCAGTGCTCGCCCTTTAATCCAAGATCACAGGAGGCAGAGACAGAGGCAGACAGATCTCTGTGAGTCTGAGGCCAGTCTAGTCTACAGAGTGAATTTCATGACAGTCAGGGAAACAGAACCTCTGTCTTGGAAAGCAAAATCAAAATAAAAAATTTAAAACGTAACAAAAGAGTAGAAACCATGGCATCTGATGCTCTTGCCTAGCAGCAGGTGACTCCCTAGGCTGTGTCTGTGAAGACAGAGGTGGCTCTGCTGCTATAGGGGTTTCCTTTTGACTGGTATCATTGGAGGAAATGCTTTTCCAGTGAGTCCTTGGCTGCACAGGCTCTGCACCATTAGACCACAGCCCCGGGATGGGCTCTTCCACTCTTTCTAGCTTCTGGTGACAGGAAAAGGCTCAAGGCCGGGTGACGAAGCTCAGTGGGTAGCACACACACCTAGGAACCCTTTACTCCTGGTTCTGCCGCCAGCACCAAGTAAAGGAGGACAGTGATATGTGCTCGTAATCTCGGCACTCAGGAATGAAGACAGAATCATCTGGAGTTCAAGGTTATCCTGAGACACACAAGACCCCATCTCAGAAAACACTAGCAGGGAGATAGACGGTGGTGGTGATGCCCTCCTTTAATCCCAGCACTCAGGAGGCAGAGGCAGGAGGATCTCTGTGAGTCTGAGGCCAGCCTGCTCTAGAGTAAGTTAGTTCCAGGACAGCCAGGGTTATGTAGAAAGAGTGTCTCAAAAAACTAAAACAAACAAGCAAAAGCCAGTGACAGCAGGGATGTGAGGAAGGCTCCAGGAGTGGGAGCACTCTGCACAGGCCTGAGGATGCTGAGTTCAAATCTCTCACACTCATGCAGAAGTTAGGCCTGGCACTCGGGCCTGTGACCCAGGGCTGGAAGTCCACTGGCCAGCCAGTCCAGCCGCAACTTCAGGCCAGTCTCAAGGGCAGAAAGCAGGACAGCAGTGTCCTCCTCTGGCCTCTGCAGCACGAGCACACAACTGACACACACTCAAAATACAGACAACAGGACGAGGGAGAGAGCCGTGGTCCCAGAATGCATACCAAAACAGAGAAATCGGGGTTGGGGAGGTAGCTCAGTGCTTGGTAGCAAGTTCGAGGCCCTGGGATTAGTCCTAGCTGGCGGGTAGGGGACTGGAGAGATGCTCAGCAGTTAGGAGCACTGGATGCTGTTACAGAGATTCCAGTGTTTGATTTCTAGCACCCACACAGGGGCTTACAACCATCTTTAACTCTGGTCCCAGGGGATTAACATCCTCTTCTGGTCTTCACAGGTACAACACACATGTGCCCCACAAACATACATGCAAGCAAAACACCCACACACGTAAAATAAGGAATAACCTAAAAATTTTACAGAAATGTGGCAGTGGCAACAGCTTGTAATCTCAGAGCCAGGAGGGGTGGAGACTGGGGAGACAGTGTCTCCAAACACCAGTAAGCCAGCTGTGGTGGCACACACACCCCTGAGGCCAGCCTGGTGTACAGAGAGACGCAAACACACACAGACAAAGGCTTTTGAAGAACTAAAACTGAAGTTGTCCTATGACTGCCACTCTCACAGATACACCTGTGTGGGGAGCTGGCCAGCAGCCAAGCGAGGCTCAGTGAAGGATTGATTCCATGCCAGAAGCCAAGTGTTGGGCTAGAGATGGGCTTAGTGGCTAAGAGTCTTCAAGAAGACTCGGGTTTGGTTCCAAACTCTCTTACTCCAGATGGAAGACCTGACACCCTCTTCTGATATTTGAAGACACCTGCACACACCTGGTACACATACATACACTTGGGTCCTACATAAAATAAAATAAATCTTTTTGTCTGCCAAGATACTTCAGTGTGTAAAACACTTAACACACAGAACTTGTCATCCACGGAACTCATGATGGACGGAGGGAACCGACTCCTTAAAGTTGCCCTTTGACGTTCTTTTTTTTTTTTTTTTTTTTTTTTTTGGTTTTTCGTGGCAGGGTTTCTCTGTATTGTTTTGGAGGCTGTCCTGGAACTTGCTCTGTAGACCAGGCTGGACTCGAACTCACAGAGATCCGCCTGCCTCTGCCTCCCGAGTGCTGGGATTAAAGGCATGCACCACCAACGCCCGGCCGACCTTCACATTTCTACCATGCCCAAATTCACGGACCACACACAATAAAGCAATTAACTATATTGTTAATGATTGATAGTAATTATGAATAATAATAACTAATGGGGTTTTAGACATGATCTCACTATGTAGCTCTCTGGCAGTTCTGTAACTCACTCTGTAGGCCAGGCTGGCCTCAAAGTCACAGACATCCATCTGTTTCTGTTTCCCAAGTTGTGGGATTAGAGGTGTGTACCACCACGCTCAGCCATACACACAGTAATAAATAAAATAAGGCAAAGAGCAATAGAGGAACCCGCACAACACTGACGTCTGTTTCCACGTGCACACACCACACACGTGGTCAGCTGGAAGAACCAACTGTTGTCACTTGAATGCTCAAACACACTTTGTAACGAAAACTTAAAACGTATGAACTGTAATACACTAAAAACAAGGCTCAGCCGGGCATTGGTGGCGCACGCCTTTAATCCCAGCACTCGGGAGGCAGAGGCAGGAGGATCTCTGTGAGTTTGAGGCCAGCCTGGTCTACAAAGTGAGTTCCAGGACAGCCTCCAAAGCTACAGAGAAACCCTGTCTCGAAAAAACAAAAAAACAAAAAACAAGGCTCAGAGAGAAACAGTCCTTGCTCCTAGATCCCACGGGGACGACACCATTAGAATCTCCCTGGTGTTCTAGAGTGGAACCCTGGCTCTGTCTGTAACTTCCATCCTGTTATTTCTCTGTAACCTTGGTTGACCACCTCACTCTGGAGAAGAAGTTCTCAAAAAGAGATGCCTCAGGGGCTAGAACTGGTACTGGCCTTTCCGAGAAGCGGAGACTGAATCCCAGCACCCCCTGTAACTGCAGTTCCGGGTGATTCCATGCCTCTGGTCTCTGTGGGCACCTGCACTAACAAGCATATACCTACCCCCCAATCCAAATAAGCAGGCATGGCATCACACCATGGAGGCAAAGGCAGGAGGATCTCTGTAAGTTCAAGGCAAGCGTGGTCTACACAGACAGACACTGTCTCAAAAAGTAAAAACCAAAAGGCAGGCACGGTGGTGCAGGCCTTCAATCCCTGAACTCCTGAGGGCAGAGGCCAGTTGGTCTACACAGCAAGTTCCAGGACAGCCAAGGCTACATAGTGAGAACCTGTCTCAAAAAAAAAAAAAAAAAAAAAGAAGAAGAAGAAAAGAAAGAAAACTGGACAGAACTGGACAGCCAAGGACACTGCAAGCTGTACCCCAGAGGTTGGAGTCAGAGGCTCCGATGCTTGCTGGGACTCAGGCCTCAGAGGCAGAACAGGGCTGGGAATCATTCCTGAGCCAAGTTTCAAGTCCCTCCGGGAGTGTCCACCAAGCGGCTGTTCCTGCTGCTTTGGCCTAAGGCGCGTTGGAGTTAGGGGACACAGCCCTGTCCCAGCCTGCGGTTGGCCGGCCTGGCGCCCAGCTCCCCTAGGCATTCAATAAGCATGAAATAATAATGAGAGCCAACGCTGCACGTTTCTCGCAGTCCAGCAGACGGCGCTCTAAGAGCCCAGCTCCCAGGGCAGGGCCGAGTCTGTGGGCGCGCAGCAGGGACCACAAGAGCACAGGACCCCAGTGGAAACAGACATTACCCACAAGAGACACACCAGCCTGGTTGGTTACATGCACGTCCCTCGTGGGGAGCCAGGAAGCGTTCCTCTGGAGGAGAGAAAGTGGGAAGGTCCAATGAGTGGTAAGAGGCCAACCCAGTGCCCCCTCTCTCCCTGCCTCTCCTCTCCTCTCCTCCCATCTGTCTTCTGACAGATCGCAGCGGGGGATGTGACTCAGCCCCAGAGGCCGCGCCATGAACGCGGTCTCGCGCACCCCCCGGCCCCCGCCAGATCTGAGGACCTAGTGCAGACACCACCTCGAAGAGGAAAAGTGCCTCCACTCTGGGGTTTTTATAAGCTGGCAGGGTGGCTGCACACCTCCCTGCACTAGTTGCCTGGACTCCACAACGGAGAGCGACAGAAGCTGAACTGCGTTTGTTCCCGGTCCCCTTCCTCTTTCTGTGCAGGGCGCTGGCACCAATGCCATCTCAGTCCACAACCCACTCCGCTGCTCCAGCTGCGGCCTCCGCAGGCCACATACTTGCCGCGGGGAAACCGAAACCCGAGCTGGCTCAGGGATGAGCTGAGAATCGTTTCTGATTTCTCACTACAGGACAAGCCGCTTTCCCTGCGGCCTCCTCCGTTTCCCTCTAAGTTCAAGAGCTTCGGGCAACAATTTCGCAAAATTCCTCACGCACACCGGGAGCTCAGAACTCTCACACTGATTCCTCCTGGGCCGTGCCTAACTAGAAGCCGAAGTTCAGAGGGCGCTCCTGCAAAGGTAACTGGGAGACCTGATCCAGAAACTCCGAGCTACTAGTCTGAGCTTGAGGGCATAGAAAGGGGTTTTTTGACCTCTTTGATTCCCAGTTTCCTCATCGGCTCAACAGGGACCCCACACAGGCCGCTGGCAAGGAGTGGGGTAGAGAGGTGTGTGTGTGTGTCTGTGTAGGAAAGACTCAGGGCCTTGAGTCCAAGAGTGAGCCATTAAGGAAAAGGGCACATGAATTATAATTATTACTGCTCAGTCACTGTTCATCAGGAAGTCCCTAGGGCCTGAAAAGAGAATAGGGCCTGATTCCTAGACTCCACCCCTGCGATGTCTCAGAGGCTCCCAGCCTCTGGCTTGGCATTTCCTGTTGATGCGAGTTGGTTTTTGTTTTGGTTTTATTTTTGTGGGTTTTTTTTTTTTTCTTTACAGCTTCCCTCTCCTAGTTCCCTCTGAGAAATCTCAGGAGCCTGACACTTGATCCCTGGTAGGGAGTCAGACAGCTGGGGAGTATGAAGTGTGTGTGTATGTCCTTGGAGATCTGTAGAAATTGGGGGAGGGTCCCTGAAGGGTCTAGGAAAACTGCAGTCATAGTCTAACGGGGCCTTGCTTGGGACTCCAGGCAGAGAAGCCCAGATAAGACATTTTACAGACACTCCAAAGGAACAGGCAACTGTGGTTAATGTTAACTGTCAATCACAGTCAGAGCCTGGGGCACCTTTCACAGTGGCTTCAATCACTGGGACTATCCTAGGTCAAGAAGACACCAGTAATTAGGGTACGCAGGGCAGATGGAGCTTGGCTTATCAGAGTACTGACTGTTAGAACTGTCACTAGAGTCAAGTGACAGTATAACTGTACAGGGAAGAATGAGGCAGGACTGTCACAAGTTCAAGGCCAGCCTGGGCTACATAATGAGTTCTAGACTAGCCAGGCCACTTAAAAAAAAAAAAAAGCAAACAAGGATGGGCAGTCTGTCTCATAGGGTCTCTGTGGAACATATTGTCACCATGGAGGTGTCCCCTGGACCATGGAAACCATCACAGAGTTATGGTTCTGGAAGCACAGAGTCACTATGCCGTATTAACCATGTCCCATGATGACACAGTTACTCTGTCACCACCACCCACACTATGCCAGAGACAGCCATCACTGTCACCATGTCATAACCGCACTCTGTCGTTAACAGCTCCACGACAGACAGTCACCCTGGGACAGGTACAGCAGCTCAGAAGCACACTGTCACTCTGTTACAACCCACTGTCCCAAATCAGAGTCAAGCGAAGCCCTGAGTCCAGGCAGCCCAAGCCAGTCACACATCTGAGGACCCTTCCTCTGAGACTGCCACAGCAGTAACCCTAACTACACTATACACCTTCATCTGTCACTTCAGAAAGGTGGGGACTCCTCTTTGATGGGACCTCAAATGCCCACTGGCACTGGTCCATGAGGCACTTCGGGATGCCACTGAGCCCTAAATGCCAGGAAGGGGGCTTGTTCCAAATGCTAAATACAGGACTGGACAGTGCTCCCCAGAAGATCCTCCTGGATTCCTAACACCAGCTACTATGGGGCTCCCCTGCATTTCTCCACCTAGAGTGCTACCCCGCCTGGAGTAACCGTGGTGGTCCAGCGTGAACCCCCTACAGAATGGTCACTAGGATATCCCACAATGACCTCAACCCTCACGAAGTCCCTCCAACTGGTATCCCCTCTCCAGCTAATCTTGTAGAGAGAGCCCTGAAGCTTCAGGAATCCCCCGTTCCCAACTTCACTCGGGAACCCGCAACAGTAAGAGTTTCTGGTGCAGTGGCTCCCCCCTCTCACCACCCACGCGGGTCACGCTGACCCCACCCGCCCCACAGCGCCCCCTTTGGCCAGATTTGCGCGTGGCGCCCCTCGCGCGCCTGTGCGCTCTGCGCGCCGGGGAGTCTCACCGCCTGCTGCTTCCTCCGCTGGTACCGGTGCCGTGGAAGGACGAGGGCCAGGACATGCGGGTAGTCCGCAGGCCTGGCCGGTCGCAGGTGTCCACGGCGTCGGCGCGCTCCATGGGCCGGTGCGGAGAGCGCTCCGGCTCTGAGCGCTCGGCACTGTCCGAGTAGCCGCGCTGCTGGATGCGGATCGGGGTCCTCGGTTGCCGCCACAGGTGCTGGGGGGGGGCGGCTTCAGGGTGGCCTGGCCCTCCCGGGGCCCGGGGAGAGACAGAGACAGGCTCCTCTCCGAGGGGGCGGCCGGAGGTTCCATGGCTCCGACTCTGTCTCGCTGGGCGCCCGGGGGGCAAGGCGTCCCCTGACCTGTCCGAGATCAGCGGCGCCACGGCCGAGGCGCTTGGGGACCCACGGGGGCTCCTGGCCTCAGTGGAGCCATGGTGCCCAAGGGCGGAGAGCGCGGACGGCGGCGGCTCCCGGAGTCCTCCCGGCGCTTGGAGCCCGCTGCGCTCTCAGAACCCGGCGCTAGCCGCGACTCCCCGCCCCGGTCCGCCCCTCCCTGCCCCCCACCCGCCCGGCTACTGTCACAGCACCACCCCCACCTCCTCCTCCAAGAAGAGGAGGGTGGCGGCCCTCCACACCCACGCACAGCCCAATCCCGCCGGGGAGGGGGGCGCCGCCGCGCGCCTGTCTCCCAGAGCCCTTTAGAGCAGCAGGCTCGCTCAGGGACCGAAGAGTTAAAGGGTTAATGGCTTTCGGACGGAGGCATCCGACTGGTTAGCGGGGTGTCACTCAGCCTCATCCATCAAGGCTGGGGCGGAGTCAGGGGCTGTCGTTTCCTCGTCTCTAAAACCTCAGTCACCCTTTCTCCCAGGTCCCCGTTTCGGGGAGTGGTCCCTGCCTCCAAGGTGCGGTGTCTGCAAGCCAGTAGTGTTGCGCGCAGGACCGTGACGGCTTGTGTCAACCCCCTCAGCCTGGCGGGATGTGAGCGCACGTGGCCCCTTCCGAGGGTTGTCTGTGTTTTCGATGTCGCCTGGAAGTGTGTGCGCGCACGTGGTGGCGGCTCCCGCTGCTGCTGTCGGGGGTGTAAGGATGCGCGCGCATGTGTGCGGCCCGTCGGGAGGGCGGAGCGTCCCGCGGGGTCTGTTCCGGTGGCCCGGGGCAGCGCACACCTTCCCACGCGCTCGGGCGCTGTGTTGTGATTATGATGGGAGGATGCTGGTGCGGGAGGAGTTGTCCGCGGGATTTCTCCTCTGTTGTCTGTGACGCCCGAGGGCGCGTGCTGGTGCGGTCGGCCTCTTGAGTTGTGTCTGTGTCGGGGGTGTGTCCTTTTGCACATTATTTTAGTGTGCCTGTGTGTGGGCACGCGTGTCCCCACCTCACCATCCAGATGCTACATATCTCAACTCCTGCAGCAGGATTTGGTCCAGCTATGTACCATTAGTCCTTGAAAATATCCGTTAGATGCCCTGGAGGGAGGTCAGAGGACAATCGGTGGGAATAAAGTCTCGCCTTCCACCTTGTGGGTCCCGGAATCGAACTCAGTCAAGCTTGGAAGCAAATGCCTTTACCCACTGAGCCATCTCGCCGGCCCAATCGCCGCCCCCCTCTTTTAATTATTAAAAACTCTTTAATTATTTAAAGCTCTTCCGCGGAAGGTAAACTGAGGCAGAAGAGAGGGGTAGCTAGGACAGGAGAGCCTTGGAGGGTGCGCCCCACCCCTGTCGTTTTTAGGCGTGTAAACAAACGGAGCCTTTCCCCCTCGTCCCCCGCCCTCAGAACCCCCCCTTCCGCCACCTAAATCCGGAGTCGCCGTGACTCACGCTCCCGCCTCCCTCAGCGCCGTGCCGAGCAAAGAGTGAGCGGGGATTCGAGCGCTCCCCATCCCTCCTCCCAGCCCTGGCTGAGCCTGACGGCTTCTGGGTGGGTGGGGGGAGCTGCTCTTGGGCTCCCGGTGCCCCACCTCCCGCCCTGGCTGGATCCTTGCTCAGACGCTGCAGCATCCCCGAGTGCAAGCCCTCGCCCCTCGACGTCCCCCTCTCCTGCTCGCCTAGGGGGACAACTCTTGTATTCTTGCCCCCTCCCCCCGTTCTTATTAACATAAAGCCAAGGAACCTTTCCCAGTCTCCGGCTTCCCTAACCACTAGCTGAAGGGGACTCCGAGCGTGGGCTAACGCGACAACAGAGCCGGTCCCCCACCAACAGCCCCATGTGGCCCCGAAGCCAGAGCTGTTATCTGTCCCCCACTTTTCTCAGGAACCTCCCCCCGGGCATCTAAGCGGGGTTTGCAAGTGTTGGGGGTGCCCAGATGTACCGAAGTCTTTGGGGTTGGCCCCAGCTCTAGATAAGGTTGGTCAGGGGCCTGCGGGAGCTGCGGCTGGAAGGCTCGAAGCCGGGGACTATGGCTATTATTCGAAGTCTCACCCTCTCATCTGGAGAAAGTGTCGTGGCAGAGACCCTCCCATGGAGTAGTGGTTTGGGGTAGGGGAGACCAGGGGGGTGAAGTCTGGGCAGCGGTGGGCTGTCTGAGCCAGCTGGGCTGATGGCTCTCCAACTGAGCTCCAGCCAAGAAGTGGGCAGAGGGGCTGGGTTGCCCTGAGAGGACCCAGATGAGAAACAGCTAGAAAGCGCAACCGGTGGGCTGGTGGGATGGCTCAGTGGGTAAAAGTGCTCACTGCCAACCAAGCCTAACGACTCAGTCAGATCCTCAGGACCCACATGGTGGAAGGAGAGAAATGACCCTCAAAGTTGTCCTCTGAGCAAGACACACGTACACACAATCTATCAATCAATCAATGTCATAAAAACTTAAAAAAAAACAAGTACAGATAGGGCTTAGACTTTCATACCCATTCCCAGTGAAAAACACAAGCCCTGGACCTACTCCAAGATGCCACCACCCTGGCTAGAGCTGAGAGATTAGACCACTGCCGACAGGAAACGGAAGCAATTACATCACACACTGGTCAGAAGCCAGCCCCTTAACTGCGAATTTAGGGGGCGTCCTGAAGGCTCTGGAGAGGTGCAAACCCTTTTCCCCTGCTGACTCAGACGGCTTAGGAAAAAAGGCTCCCTGAGGCCGCCAGGGAGGGCCTAGGAGGCCTAGGAGAGCTGTCCCGGCCAGGATCAGCCGCGGTAAAAAACGCTAAGCTCGGGAAGGGCTCCTGGTTGGCTCACCTCCTTCATGCTTGCTTCCCACTTTGACCCCCTCCTGCCTACCGGTTGGCCTCCGCTCCGGGGATAAATACTCGAGGCGGGATTAGCAGCGGTAGCTTTCTGGGCCTTGGCATCGGAGGGACCCCAGGACCGGAGCGCTCAGGCTGAGCCCAGCCCTGACCTGGAGGTGGCGGCGAGGGCGGCGCAGGTCCACCCCTAGCATGTTGACGCAGCAAGACTCTGAACTCCCTGGGTCCTGTGGGGGCACATGGGTGGAACTGGGTGTGTCTTGCGGGTCTGAATGCCGCCCCCAGGAACACAACTATTTAGCTACCCCAGGGAGCAGCCAATGGGCACATACAGGCCTCTCATTTCTGAGCCTCCCGGGGAGGGCGCCCTCCCACACTCAGGTGTGAAAGAGCCTCTGTAAGCCGTATAATTTGGAGTGTGGGAGGATTTATGAAGCCTCGGCTGGCCTCCTCCTGCCTCGGCTTACCACACGCTGGCGTTACAGGTCTGCGCCTCTGAGGCCTGCCACCATCCTTTTCTACCCCATTTCTCTCTTTCCTTCTGTTAGACAGTTTCGCTGTGTCGCACGGGCTGGCCTTGAAAGCACCGCCTGCCTCTCCTCCCCAGAGCTGAAATTAAAGACCTACGTCTCTGCATGCAGGCCACCCTCTGTAAGCGTTTTCCCTTACATCTGAGACCCTGGGCCTTCCTCCACCAGCGGGCCAAAACTGTCTCCCACCCTGAGACGCCGCAAGGCTCCCTGCCCTGTCTCTGCGGGCTGAGAATCTGGCAGTCTGAAAAGTGTGTGTGTGTGTGTGCGTGTGTGTGCGTGTGTGCGTGCGTAAATGCAATCAAAGGGGTAAACTGAGGCATAAGTAACACCGCCCCTCCTCGGGTAACAGCTACTGTGGCTTGATCTCCGACTCCACCCTGCTGCTCCCTTCCACCCCGGTTCCCTGGGCCCATCCCGTGAGCCCGGGTCAAGGGTCACCTGCCTGTGTGGTCGACGAGCGGCACCTTCCCATAGAACCCGCAGGTTCCCCCCTGAAGACTGGGTCCCAAGGGTGTGTGTGACGTCGGTGGACGTCAGCAAGCATCTGACTCAAAGATGCGGGAGATGACGCCTGCCGTTACCGTGACGACAGGTGACGCACGCGCGCTCGGGAGGGTGTAGGTGCGGCGGTCGGCCGCTGGGGGCGCGGTGGTCCCGCTGCGTGCTCTTCGCGGCCCCACGCTGGGACTTCCCCGTCCGGGAATCCCACGGAGGAGCCGGCCATGTGCTGAGCGTGGTCCGAGCCGGGGGCCGGAGGAAGCGCTCCTGCGAGCTGTTGGGCTTTCTGCTACACCCCGAGCCCCCAAAATAGCTGCGGTGTGCGGGGACCGGCGCAGAGAGAGACGGCGGCTTCTGGGCACAGATGGGGGACGCACAAGGCAGAGGCGCGGAGACAGACAGGGACTGGTGGAAATAGAAACAGACAGACAGGGACACAGACGCAGCTTGCGGGGATGGGGGAGGGGGAGGCTGGCTCACTTTACCTTCACACTCTGACATTGACGATGTGGGTTGTGTGACCATGGGTCTCTGACTTAACCTCTCTAAGCCCGAGCTACCTTTCTTCTTTCCAGGCTAGCCTCGGACTACCTCCCTATGACCTTGAACGTCCTCGTCCTTCACTTCAGTGCCGGGACTGCAGGCTTACAACAACAAGCCCATTTAAGGGATCCAGTCTAGGGATACACAGTATGCTATGTAAACGCACTATCAACTGAGCCATAGCCAGAATTCTTTTTAGACAAGGTCTCATATTGACCAGGCTGGCGAACTCAGAGAACTATTTGCTCCTGCCTCCTGAGTTCTGGGATTAAAGGCATTTACCAGGTAGGTTTCTGCTTCATAGAAGCCACCCTCCACCAGGTGCTCCTCACCTTTCATGGCTCCCAAAGCAAAATTACAAGGCCAGCTGGACCTGAATTCAGATCCCCAGAACCCAAGTAAAATCCTGGTGGGCTGGGGTGCACATGGGGATCGTGGGGCTGGATGACCGGCCAGTCTAGACAAATGATCTTCAAGTTAAGTGAGAGACCTTGTCTCAAAAAAATACGTCGTGTGTTACTTCGTACAAGTCTTTCTTTAATCCTGGCGCTCAGAGATAAACGCAGGTGGATCTTATCTGTGAGTTGGAGAACAGCCTGGGCTACTACATGTCTCTAAAATAAAAATAAAGTAGGAAGCAATAGAGGGACACATCTGTTGTTGACCTATGACTACCATATGCGCCCACACACACAGGTGCAAACACATGAACACCAAAGAAAAATAGAATATCAGAACCAGATTTGGTGGGACATATCTTTAATTCCACCACTTGGGAGGCAGAGGCAGGCTGATTGATTTCGGTGAGTCTGAGGCCAGCCTGGTCTACATAGTAAGTTCCAAGCCAACGAGGACAAATATTGAGACTCTGACTCAAGAAAAATAAAGAAAATAGATTTCTACCTTCCCCTCCTCCCCCTCCCAGACAGGGTTCCACACAGCTCAGGCTGGCTTCAGACTTGCTATGAAGCCCAGGCTGAATTTGAATTCCAGATCTTCCCTGCTTCCAAGTTTGTTTGTTCCCAAGACAAAGGTTTCTCTGTGTAACAGCCCTGGCTGTCCTGGAACTCGCTCTGTAGACCAGGCTGGCCTCAAACTCAGAGATCTGACTGCCTCTGCCTCCCGAGTGGTGGGTGTGTGCCACCCCGCCCAGTGTGCCTCTAGTTTCTATGTGCTTGATTACAGCTGCCATACTCAGTTGTACCCAGTTATTCCTGTGTGATGGGACTCATGTAGATAATTTCCAATCTATCAGAAATGATTAGATAATTTTCAATCAATCAGAAATGCTAAGGATTAAAGCCAGGATTTCCTCCTGTGTGCCAGGCTAGCATGCTACTACTAAGGCATAGGTCCCCCCTGCTCTGTATGTGGTGTGTGATGTGGTGTAAGAAGGAGAGGACTCACCGGGGGTTGGTGGCACACGCCTTTAATCCCAGCACTCGGGAGGCAGAGGCAGGCGGATCTCTGCGAGTTCGAGACCAGCCTGGACTACCAAGCGAGTTCCAGGACAGCCTCCAAAGCCACAGAGAAACCCTGTCTCGAAAAACCAAAAAAAAAAAAAAAAAAAAAAAGAAAAGAAAGAAAGAGAGGACTCCTGATATGTTGCCCAGGATAGCCTCAAACTCAAAGTCTTCCTGCCTCAAGCTGCCAAGTGCTGAGATTATAGATGTGAGCCAACAAGCCCAAATCTTCCCACTTTTTGAGATTTCATCATTCTGTGTTGTCCAGTTGGCTGCCAACTCCTAGACTGAGAAGCGTTTTTGAGGGTGGGTGGTGGTATCACTCACATTTAGTCCCAGCACTCTGGAGGCAGAGGCAGGCAGATCTCTGTGAGTTCGAGGCCAGCCTGGTCTACAGAACGAGTTTCAGGACAGCCAGGGATATTATACAAAGAAACCTGGTCCCTAAAGCAAAACAAAACAAAAAGCTCTTCTGCCTCAGTTTCCCAAGTATCTGAGAGCACAGTCATGTGCCACTGTACCCGTAAGACACGGTTGTACACCGTCATTTCCCTCCATGTACACAACACCAGAATTAATTCTTCCTCGTTTCTTTTTCTTGTCTTGCTGCAATGGCTGAGACCTAGATGCCAGAACTGTCAGAAGAGCTGAATGTAGAAGTCTTCTGACAGTGCAGTGAAATGTCACCTGCTCCTTATGTGCCGACAGACAGGCTCAAAGAGCACTAAATAAGGAGGGAGGGAAGGGGCGGGGGGGGGGGCGTCTAAAGGGGTGAGCCTTCAAGAGAGGCTGGTAGTGTAGTTTTGCTTTGGTGTTGACAGAGGGTCTTGCCATGTAGCCCTGGCTGTCCTGGAACTCACTGTGTAGACCAAACTGGCTTTGAACTTAGAGATCCGCCTGTCTCTGCCTCCTGAGTGCTGGGATTAAAGGTGTGCACCACCACATCTGGTTCTGATGTTTTTCATTTTGTCGTGTGTGTGTGTGTGTGTGTGTGTGTGTGTGTGTGTGTGTGTGTGTGTGTGAAAACGAGGGGGTGCATTCACATGGGGCACATATGGAAATCAGATTTATTATTTGCACTTTGTGTGCGCAGGTGTTTTGTCTGTGTGTAGGTCTGTGTACCATGTGCGTGCATCAAATGCTCTGGAGTCACAGGTAGTTACAGACAAGTGTGAGCTGCCATGTGGGTGCTGAGAATTGAACCTGCGTCCTCTGCAAGAGCAACCAGTGCTCTTAACCCCTGAGCCATCTCTCCAGCCATCTAAACTTAGGCCCTAGAAGGAAAGAAAGAAGGGGCAGGGAATGAGTGTAGTCACAAGAGAATCTGATAATCACTGGGTTTTGAAGGCTCTGGAAGGAAGAAAGGAATGAAGGAGTAAAGCTATAAGAGAGTCTGGTAGCATAGTGTTTAGTTTTGCAGGCTATGAAAAGAAGGAAGAGAGGAAAGGAGAAAGAAAGCTACCTTCTCTCTGTTTACAGAGTTACATAATATGCTCCGTCCCATAGAGTACAGAGTTGGTAGTAAGAGACCTAGGTTCTGGCCGGGCGTTGGTGGCGCACGCCTTTAATCCCAGCACTCGGGAGGCAGAGGCAGGCAGATCTCTGTGAGTTCGAGGCCAGCCTGGTCTACAAGAGCTAGTTCCAGGACAGCCTCCAAAGCCACAGAGAAACCCTGTCTCGAAAAACCAAAAAAAAAAAAAAAAAAAAAAAAAAAAAGAGACCTAGGTTCTATAAACATATCAGCATGGCTACAGTCAAACCCTACCTTTGCCACTTCCTGGTTGTGTGACCCTGGGTAAATCACCCAGCCTGGGCTTCAGTTTTCTCATCTGTTTAGTTAGCCAGGCAGTGGTGGTGCACACCCTGAACCCCAGCACTTGTGAGGCAGAGACAGGCAGATCTGGGTTTGAAGTCAACCTGGTCTACAGAATGAATTCCAGGACAGCCAGAGATCTTTAGAGACACCCTACCCTGAAAAACCAAAAATAAAAAAAGCACTAAAGTACCGTTTCACTCACAGATGCTGAGGTTGACGTGAGATAAAATGGGATACTCTGAACACAACTTCCATGCATCCACAAAATGCTGGCCACCCTCCTACTGGTTGTAACAGTAATTGTTAGAGCTGAGCATAGTAGCACACACCTTTAATCCCAGCACTCGGGAGGCAGAGGCGGTGGATCTCTGAATTCGAGGCCAGCCTGGTCTACAGAGCCAGAGAAACAACAAAAATAGTAATTTTTCTTCACAGCGCTGTAGACATATTTGAGAGACCATAAGACATTTAGAGAGACTGGCTCTGTTGGTCTCCTGTTCCTCACACTTAGGAAGTGCTCAGACCTGGAGTGCTAGTCAGATAGACACGCAGACAGATGGGCAGTATGGGATGGGCCAGCCTGGGCTATCATCCACAGGAACAGCAAGGATTTCCTGTGGATTCCTCTGCTCCGTCTGCCACCTCTTGCTTTGCTGTCACCTCTCCTGTTCTCTATCCATCTCTCTTTCTGTGGACCCTGGGCCCCGTCTCTGCCTTTGGTGCCCACTCAATCATTGTGAAGAGGAATGGACGTTGCAGGAACTCCCTCCCTGACTCCTCCAGCGCAGCCTGGAAAGGATTCTGTATGGGGGACAGACGACACAGCGACTCGGCTCAGGGAGCTACTGAGGGAAACAGCAGCTGGTGTGGGTGCTTTTTAAAAATCTGAATGAAAGGAATTAGAAGTGGGGGGAAGTGCTCAGACCCCAGAGCCTTTGCACACGCTCTTCTTGCACCTAGAAAGTGTCTCAGGACAGACTGAGCTCCTTCTGCGCCTGGACCTCTTTGTGCTGCTGGTGCTAACTTTTGTGGGTGTGTTAGTGTGTGTGAACCGTAAGAGTGTGGGTGCCCACATGTCACCACCCACATGTGGAGGCCACAGGACAACTTTCAGGAGTTGGTTTTCTGCTTCCACAGTGGAATACCAGGGTCAAACGCAGGCCTCTGGTCTGTGTGACAAGCAGCTTTACTGTTGTCCCATCTAAACTTACTGCAGTGAGTTGCGTGACTTATTAATTACCTATTTATTTATTTTGGGCTTTTGAGAGGGGGTTTCTGTGTAGTCCTGGCTGTCCTGGAACTCACTTTATAGACCAACCTGCCCTTGAACTCACAGAGATCCACCTGCCTTTGCCTCCTGAGAGCTGGGATTAAAGGTATATGCTACCATGCCCAGCCCAATCCTCATCTTGAGGTAATGGAGATGAAACCAAAGGTCTCTTATGTACTAGGTAAAGGCTCTCCCACAGAGCCACGCCCCAGCCTCTCACTGGGGAATTCTAGGTAGGGGTTCTACTGTTGAGCCACTCCCCAGCCCTTGTGATACTTGACCATCTTGGGCATGTAAACCCTCTGTAGTCTATATATTAGGCTGCACTACTATCTTTTTTTTTTTTTTTTTTTTTTTTGGTTTTTCGAGACAGGGTTTCTCTGTGGCTTTGGAGGCTGTCCTGGAACTTGCTTGGTAGTCCAGGCTGGTCTCGAACTTACAGAGATCCACCTGCCTCTGCCTCCCGAGTGCTGGGATTAAAGGCGTGCACTACTGTCTTTATTCCAAAAGCTTGTAGCAGCCCATGGTGCACACTAAGAATTTATGGGCCAGTTGGTAGCGTGCTTGCCTCTCATGCACAAAACCTTGGCTTCCAACCCTAGTACCATATAAAACGGCATGGTGATGTACACAATCCCAGCAGTATAAGACCCTGTCACAAATAAATAATAAACAACCCCAGCACTTATGGAACACAATGAAGAAAGGAGTGGAGGAGGTGGATCCCAGGCCCTTCCTGCTGTCCATATAAACACCAGTGCTTTTTGTAGACAGAATCTCTTTTTCTGTAGTCCTGGCTGGTCTGGGACTCAGTATGTCGACCAGACTGCTCTCCTGCTCTCATTGATCTGTATCTGCCATCCTCTGAGTCTTGAGTGTTGGGATTAAAATTGTCAGCTATCACGTCCAGCTGGGTCCACTCAAATGTAAAGCTTTGCAAACACAAGCCTGAAGAAAAAGAGACAATCCTAAGCCTTCCTCCTCTGGACAGTACTCTGGATGGGGAGGGGTCCAGACGTACAGCAGGCTGCTTTGGGCATAGGAACCATGCTCCACTGCACTTCTCTTGTGGTATGATTACCAGTCAGCCGTCACCCCCTAGCCACCTGGAGTTCCTGTTCACACCACAGCTCAGAGCATTTGCTCTCAGCTCCACCTCCAGGGCTGAGGCAGGCCTGTGATGGCCTCTCAAGAACCCAGGAATGTGTTTACATTTGAGTGCAGTTTCCTGGATAGTCAGACATGTGCAGTGCACCCTGGGATGGATGTTCTGTGAGTCTCAGTGCTGCCCAGTTGCGACCAGATCACAGCTTCAAGGCAGTTATGCAAACTACAGAATGGACAGAAGAGCTCTGGGACAGACATAAGGCTAGATGGGCGGCTGCGTGACCCTGCTGCGTGCTTGTTTGGGATTCCTGTGTGTGGATACAGCAGGAAGCAGTTATTTCCCTGTGCTTAAAGATTCGAGTTTGTGGGGTGGAGAGATGGCTCAGCAGTTAAGAGCACTGACTGTTCTTCCAGAGGTCCCAGGTTCAATTCCCAGCACCCACATGGCAGTTAACAACTGTCTATATCTTTGACACCCTCACACGGGCATACATGCCCGAAAAACACCAATGCAAATAAAATAAAAATAAATTATTTAAAGATTCGAGTTTGTTGTAGCCAGGATGTCTTAACATGTAGAGGTGCTCGCTGATGGCCTGAGCTCAGTCCTGTGAACCCACATGGCAGAAGGGGAAAACCAACTCCCTTATGTTGTCCTCAGACCTCCACCCATTTGCTGTGGCACCTGTGTGAGTGTGTAAACTCACACACACACACACACCATGAGAATACATTACAGAATAATTTAATGGGGCTGGAGAGACAGCTCAGCTGTTAAGAGCACTGACTGTTCTTCCAGAGGTCTTGGGTTCAGTTCCCAGCACCCACACGGTGGCTGACAACTGTAACAACAGTTCTAGGGGACTCGACACCCTTACACAGGCAAAAAACCAATAAACACAAAATAAATTTAAGCCAGGCGTTGGTGGCACACACCTTTAGTCCAAGCACTTGGGAGGCGGAGGCAGGCAGATTTCTGTGAGTTCCAGGCCAGCCTGGTCTACAGAGTGAGTTCCAGGATAGGCTCCAAAGCAATACAGAGAAACCAAAAAAAAATTTTTTAGTGGAAATTCAGCGCCCAGTGTGGTGGTGCACACCTGTAGTCTGGCAACAAGCAGAAGCAAGAGGATCGTGAGTTCAAAGCCATCCTGGGCAATTAGGCCACCCTAGTGGCACCGCCTTGTTATGCCCTGCAGAGTTCACTGTGCCTGGTCCTGGCTCACTTTTCTTCTGCTTTATTTCTCTCCACTCTTTCAAGTGGAGAGCACTGCTCTGTGGTGCTGCACACCTTTAAATCCCAGAGGCAGAGGTAGGTGGTGGGTCTCTGAGTTCCAGGATAGCCAAGGCTACGCAAAGACACCATGTCTCAAAAAAATAAAAAGAGAGAAATTAGAATTCTTTATTTATGTGGGGAAGGGAAAGATGGCTATGCATAACCACCATGCCATCAGTGTTCACACGGAGCTCAAAGACAGGAGTTAGTTCTCTCTCCACCATGTGTGTCCTGGAACTCAGATCTTCAAACTTGGCAGCAAGCACCTTTACTCACTGAGTTATCTAGTTGGCCCCTTCCTCATGTCTATAAGAATGGTGTTCCACTCCTATGTAAGAGAGCAAGGCAGGACATCTAGCACCTATCATCTCAGCAGCTGGGGGTTAAAAGCAGGAGGATGGGGGACAGCGTTCTAAGGCCAGCCTGGACTACGTGAAACCATGTCTCAAAAAGAAAAAAGGGGGGAGTGACTAACGGGTTCATGATAATCCTCTTTCCTATTGCCCAATTACCTGAATATAGTCTGAATTTTACTTTCCTTCACTTAGTCAGTATTTCTTTTTCACAGTCTCACTATGTGTTCCTGGCTGTCCTGGAACTCATCCTGTAGCTAAGGCTTACCTGGAATTCACAACAGTCGCTCTGCCTCTGCCTCCAGTATGCTGGGATTAAAGATGAGAGTTTCCTCCTTCTGGCCTCTACCTCCAGATCCTCCTTCAGGCCTCTACCTGCCAAGGGCTTCGAGGTCAGGCACTCAACAGCTCCATTCCTGGCAGAATTTCCACCATGATGGTAAGTTTACATACAAAGAGGCATTTATATGCCCATCTTGCCCCCTGGACAACCAGGTAAGAGTCTCCCCTTTGCTGCAGCTACAGTCTGGCCAACAGCAACGTGGTTGACATTCACAGAACACAGTTGGGGAATAGGAATGAAATAACAAGGAAACAGGTTTAGAAGTGAAGGCATGCTGGTCTCCTGGCTTGCCTCAGCCTCTGCCTGCAGTTACTGCCGTAAGTAGCTGAAGAAACAGGCCCGCAAATGCACAACGAACCGCTGGGATATCTGGATGCAGTTAAGTGCTGTTGGCAACACGGTTTCCTACCCCAGCCTCAGCCCCACCCCAAAGCAGCCTCGGTTCTCCCTCCCCCGGCATGCCACAGAAACAAGGTACACTGTAGGGTTCTCTAGGGGAAGGCCGGCTACCAGGGATGCACGGTAGAGAAACAGCTGCAAGTAACTGGTGCCTGCATCTCTCTCCCTGTCCCCAGGGGCTGGACACAGCTGGTAACAGATAGGAAATGCTTGGTGATGATGGGGATTCCTGTGATCCCAGCTCTCTGCCATTAAGGCAGCCCCAGTGTCAGAAGCCTAGAGAATATCCCGTCACCTACCAGAAAATTCTACACACACACACACACACACACACACACACACACACACACACACACACACACACACACACGCATCACAGCTTTCATGGAGAGCTAGGGGAACCCCGTCATCTTAATGCCCTTCCTCTCGGGAGTCGGGTTCCCTTCCCAACACAGCTCGCAACCCAAAAGCTTACCTTGCTGGGAAAAGGGGCTGAAAAGAGGAGCCCCGCCCTCTCTGGCCTGGGGTCAGGACAACCGGAGGGGACAAGTGTCCAGACCCTTTGTTTGCTGGTGTGTGTGGGTGTGCGGGAGACCCTCTGGGTATAGGTCCTTCATGCGCGTGCCCGGGCTGGGATGGACCGCTGCTGGTGGGGGGGACAGCCAAGCCGGGGGAGGAGGGAAGAGAAAAGGGACTCCCTTGCTCCGCCCACCCACTCGCGAGTTTGAATAGCGAGAAGGGGAGGGTTCATAACGGGAAGGAGCTTTTATGCCCGCCACCCCTTCCCCTCCATGGATGGGGGACACCCTCCAATTTGCAGACCTTTATTCGCTCCAGACAGCCCTTTCTCCAACAGCTCCTGAAAAGCTGGGAAGAGCTTGGGAACCCTGCCCAAGCCGAATGGATACAAACAACTCCTCTTTTTCCGCCTGACCCCACCGCAAGTAGCACCCCTTAAACTGAGGTAATCTTGTCCCCAGGCTGAGTTTCTAGATCCTGTATCAAAGATGGGGAGGGACGAACCTGGGTATCTCACACTCAGAAAGAAATGGATTCCCTCAAGCCCCAGACGAAATTCAGGGGCTCAGGTGAGCTGGAAGAGGCTGTGGGCAGCCCCAGATGGTGAGGAAAACTCCCTCTAGAGCCTTCCGGTTTCCCCTGGCGCAGGGCTGGGAACGCTGTCGTTGGTTAGACGTCAGCGACACCCAGAGGCTGTGCAAAGAGACACTTGAGGTGGTGGATTCTGGATGATTTCAGAGGGCTGCAGGCGCTGAGGATGGTGTTGGAGTCTAAAGTCCCCATACAGTGTCAATTATCATCCACTTCTGGTCCCCAAGCAAGAACACGGCTGCATCTTTGGCCACTTATCAGCCCTCGGACTGCAGAAGTTCTTTCAAACCCGCCGCAGTGTTAAGTCAAGGAGCCTTCCGCTCCGGGGGTTCCAGAGGTAGACACCAAGTCCGAAGACATGAGTTTCATCCCCAGGATCGTCTTTGTGGAAGAAGGCAAATGACTTACAAAAGTTGATTTCTGGCTTCAACATGAGCACTCTACCACTCGATGCCTGCCCCATAAATAAATCAATGTAATACTGATTTTTTTTTTTATAAATTCAGTCTACATAGCCCTGGCTGTCCTGGTACTCACTAAGTAGACCAGGCTAGATTCTGCCTCCTGAGTGCTGGGATTAAAGGCATGTTCCACCATGCCTGGCCAATAAATGTAACTTTTTTTTTAAAGTACTGAAGCTGATGAAATAGCTCAGTGGTAAAGATGTTTTCGGCAAAAGCTGAATGACCAAAGTCTCAGCACCTACAGGTAAAAGGAGACAACCAGCTACAGCAAATTATCTTATGATTTTCACATGTGCACCCTGGTACACACACACACACACTTTTATTTTTAAAGGACTGGGATCAGAGAGACAGCTCAGTTGATAAAGGCGATAGCCACTAAGCCTGACAACCAGAATTTGATCTGGGGGACCCACGTGGCAGAAGAAGAGAATTGACTCCAGCAAGTTGTCCTGATGCTCACATGTGTACACACACACAAAATTAATAAAATATAATATTATAAAACTGATTATTCAAAAATTTTTAAACCAAAAAAACATTATATTTATTTTATATGTATTGGTGTTTTGTCTGCATGTACGTGTTAAATCTGGAGTTGGAGTTACAGTTATGGGCTGCTATATGGGTGCTGGGAATTGAACCTGGGTCCTCTGGAAGAGCAGCCAGTGCCATTTTAGCAGTTAAGAGCATTGGCTGCTCTTCCAGAGGTCCTGAGTTCAATTCCCAGCCACACAGTGGCTCACAACCATCTGTAATGAGATCTGGTGCCCTCTTCTGTCGTGCAAGGCATACACGCAGACAGAACACTGTATACATAATAAATAAATAAATCTTAAAAATTAAAAAAAGGTAGGTGGTGGTGGCACATGCCTTTAATCCCAGCACTTGGGAGGCAGAGGCAGGCGGACCTCCGTGAGTTCGAGACCAGCCTGGTCTACAAGAGCTAGTTCCAGGACAGCCTCCAAAGACACAGAGAAACCCTGTCTCGAAAAAAAAAAAAACCATAAATAAATAAATAAAATTTAAGGGCAGACCCAGCATAGAGGAGCATGATTTTAATCCCATCACTGGGAGACAGAAGCAGTCACATCTGTGAGTTCAAGGCCACCCTGGCCTACAAATTGAGTTCCAGGACAGAGAAACCCTGTCTTGAAAAACAAACAAAAAAGAGTGAAGTTTTTTTTGGGGGGGGGATTCGAGGCCTCACAAATGCTGGGATTGAAGGCATGCACCACCAACGCCCGGCTTTTTTTTTTTAATGAGTATTGATGTTGTACCTGCAAATATGTCTGCACACCACACGTGTGGCCAGAAGGGGGTTTCAGACCCCTAGGGCTGGAGTTACAGATGCGTGTGAGCCACTATGTGGGTGTTGGGAACATAATGAGGGTCCCCTGGAAGAGCTGCTAATTCCGTTAAAGGATTTTTTAATTTGTTTTGTTTGGGGGGGGTAGAGTTTAGACAGGATTTCTTTGTGTAATAACACCGGCTGTCCTGGAACTCGCTCTGTGGACCAGGCTGGCCTCGAACTCACAGAAACCCGCCTGCCTCTGCCTCCCGAGTGCTGGGATATAAGGCGTGTGCCACCAACGCCCGGCTCGATTTTGATTTTTTGGAGACAGAAGCTCACTGTGTAGCCCTGGCCGGCCTGGAACTACGTCGATCAGGCCTGCCTAGAACTCGCAGAGTTCGACCTGCCTGGACTTCCAAGCGCTGGGATTACCGTGGGCCGCCAAACCCTAGGCAACTACCTTTCTTGTCCCCAGGGAATGCGCGGTCGGGTTTCGGCGGGAACTCCCAGAAGGCTGCACCACGTGAGCCTGATCCTTTAAGAATCACCTCGGTTGTCAGCGACGCCGACTCCCGTTGCTAAGGACGTGATGTCACGCGCGGATGCTGGGGCGGGGCCTCGTGCGCGGCGCCGTGAGCGGAAGCGGAAGGGGCGGGGCTCCGCGAGCGGACTCTCTATCCCTTGTGGGTCCCTGTTCAGCGCCCGGCCGTGTGGAGAGCCGGGAACCAATCCGGGCCTCCGAGGCGAAGATGGTGGACTACAGCGTTTGGGATCACATCGAGGTGTCGGACGATGAGGACGAGACGCACCCCAACATCGACACGGCCAGCCTCTTCCGCTGGCGGCACCAGGTGGGGCTGTGCGCGCGCATCCCCTTCCCCCCCACTCCCGGGACCCCCCGCTCTAGAGTTCTGACCTCTTACCCTGGCCGCCCTGATTCGGGCGGGTCGGGGGAAACTCAGCTATTGACGTCTGCAGACTCCTATTCCACAGTCTGGGCTTGCTTTCTCTCTTTTTTAAAAAAAATTGAAACAGGATCTCACTATAGCCTTGCCTGGCCTGGAACTCGCTCTGTAGACCAGGCTGGTCACTAACTCACGGAGATCCGCCTGCCTCTGCCTTCCCAGTGCTGGGATTAAAGGTGTGCACCATCATGTTGGCCTGGACTTTTAAATTCCATCCCAGGACTTCAGGATCACTGGGGACCCGAACTCCCCACCATCATGTCTGGGCTCTCCCGCTCTGCTATCTTTTATTTTATTCGTACACTTATCTGTTAGTTTACTTACAGTGGTGTGTCTTGTGTGCTTGTGGCACAGCGTGTATGTGTAGGTTAAAGGACAGGTAACACAAGTCAGGCCTCTCCTTTCACCACGTTAGAACGGGGCATGGAACTTAGGTCACCCCAATTTTCCACAAGCACCTATACACACCGAGTCTTCTTATCAATTCTTAATGCTTTCATCGGAGCCTAGACTCCTCCAAACTCTGGCCCTTGTGAGTAGGGGTCCCGTCACCTGTGTGGAACCTTTCTTTCTCCTCAGAATTCTTTCTCGGAGTCCAGACCTCGGGTTCTGTTAGCCTCTCCCTTATCCCTGCCATGCGCCCACTGCTGATCGCCCACCTCCCTTCTGCCTCTTCTCAACCCCTGGAGCCTGGGTCCACAATACTTTTGACTTGCTGTGGCATCTACTCCCCAGGATCTTAAGCACTAATTTCCATTAAGGCCCAGAGACACCCTGCCCCCAACTCCCAGACTGAATGAGATTGGTGTCTTAATTTCCCGATCTTAGCTTTCAGCCGGGGTTCTACAACCCAGGGCCCCTTTCCCTGGAGTGTAGACCAGAACCTCACTAGGGACTTCAGTCCCACCCAGGACTTAAGGGTTGAAGTCCCCTCCTCTGCACTTAGCCTCCAGCCCCACTCCTGCCCAGTAGCTTTCCTGACTCTAGCCTGCAGACTCTTTTTTCCCATTATTCCAGGAAACCCCACCCACTTAACTTCCGGCCAGAACCTCTGCTTCTTTATAGTAAGTAGACCCCCATCCTGCCCCTGGCTTCAGTATGAACTTTGGCCATCATTGAATATTCACCAAACTACGAGCCAGGCAGTGTGGTTCATGCCTTTAATCCCAGCACTAGGGAGGCAGAGGCAGGCCTGTGAGTTCCAGGTCAGTCTTGTTTACAGAGAGAATTCCAGGACAGCCAGGGCTACACAGAGAAACCCTGTCTTGAAAAAACAAACAAGAAAACCAGAGAAAAAGAAACTCAGCAAACCTGAGCTCAGAAACCCAAACCCATCCTGTCCTACCTGCTCTTTCCCCTGAAGCCTTATGGGCTTCTCTCCAGGGTTCAAACTATCCTACTTAACTGGGGGACCTCCTGGATCTTAGGCCAATTTCACCCTACTTGCTTGAGCATGATGCCACACATCTGTAAACACAGGTCTTGGGAGATGGAGGTAGGAGGATGAGGAATTCAGTCAGTCCTTCGTACATGGCAATTCTAGGCTAGCTTGAACTACACGAGACAGTCTCAAAAGTCAAATAGGCTGGTGCTCAGTTGTGTGTCATTGCCTTGTGCTGTGTCCCCAGCACTGCTTAAAAGCTAGCCCTGGTGGGACAGGCCTGTAGTCCCAGCACTGTGGAGATGGGAGCAGGAAGGTCGGACGTTCAAAGCCTTCAGCGACATAGAAAGCTTGAGGCTGGCATGGACCACATGGGATCCTGTCAACAACCAAGCAGATAAAATAAAATCCTACACATTTTTAAAAATCTGTCCAGCACAGATCTCCCCAGATTCAGACCTTAGAATTCAAAGTGTGTCTGAGCCACGCTCTTCCACTCCTCCTCTGCCAGCAATGCCCACAGCACAGTGGTGTACTAACTACCAAGATCTAACGGTGTTCTGGAGATGTGCTTTAGTGATAGAGCACTTGTGTAGCATGCAGGAGGTCCTGGGTTGCATTCCTCGCACAACAGTAAAGAGACAGTGGTCTAACCTGCTGTCCCAAATCAAAGCATCTATATCCATGTACCTGTGTGTTATACCCTGTGCTAAAATTACGTTTTAGTCATTTGTGTATGCACTCATGTATGTGTAAATGTACATGTGTAGTCCATGGTACCCATGGAGTCAGAAGATAACTTGGTGGAATCTGTTTTCTTCTCCCATGTGGGTTCTGGTGCTCAGACTCGGGTCTTCAGGCTTGGCGGCAGGCCCTTACCAGTGAGCCTTCTCATTGGCCCCTGAGCTTGTTAAGCTCTCGAGCTTAGGGCAGGCACTTTACAGTTAGGAAGTTTGCACCCCATCTTCCTGAGGGCAGCTCCTCTTCATTTATCTGGAAGCTCCTAGAAGGTCTTACCCATCTTCCCCAAATGAGTGTCTGTTCTCCATCCACGCACACACCTATTCCTTCCAGTTTCCTCAGATGACCACCCGCCAGGCCAGCTGCTGGGCTGGCTGCCAGCACAGTGTCCCCTGCCTCATAGCATTGCATTAGGAAGCTCTGAAGACCCTTGTGGTTGGTGAACTATTCTCAGGAACACCTCTCTGTTGTGTGAAGAGGTTTGTCTTCCTACTGCGTGGAGAACAGTTAGCCTCCCCCCACTAGTACAGAGCCTGCTTTCTGTCTTGCTGCTGTGACTGTAATACGGAGGAGGGAAGTGGAGCTCTCTGCCCCAGCACATGTGGGAGGATAGGCAGGCTCTGGTGGGCAATCTAACCTCGCCTCTTCTGCATCCGTCTGTGATGGGGCTGGGTTCATAAGCTCCGAGAGAGAGAGGCCTGATTGACGGGCCACATTCCTGGTCTGTGACCCTGATGTGCTGTGACTTCGGGGCTCTGTTTGGCTGCTCTGTGCCTCAGTCTTCTGAGAATGTGAGTAGGATCTGTGTGACCCATAGGGTTGGTATAAGTTTCCCAGTGTTTAACAACTGATTGCCTTGGGGTAATAGTTCTTGTCATCACTGTTTAGGTGTGCCTTGAGGGGTAGTAGTTACTGTCAGCACTTTTTAAGTGTGCCTGTAATTTCCAAACTGATTCAAAGCCAGATGCGATAGTGCATGGCTGTCATTCAAGGCTATCCTTGGCCATATAGCAAGTGGAGGCCAGCCTGAGCTACTTGAGCCCCTGTCAAAAAAATAAACAGCAAGGGTCCAGCAAGGTAGTTCAGCTTTTCATCAACAGGTCACCAAACCTGACGACCCAAGTTTAACC